ACCAAGATCTATGATATCAGCAATTATCTCAATCATTTCACAGGCTCTTATGAAGCCACTTGAATTTCTGGCATTTCTCTGTCAATATACTGTTTCAATCATCTTAATATCTGTAGCAAGATTTTACTTGTGTGTAATATTAATGATGTTGTTTCATAATTTCCACATTCTTTTCCCCTGTTTTTTGGAAATGGCACCAATGTGGATTTCTCCCAGTTGGTTGGCCAGTCTTTCAAATTCTTGGCATTGACAACTGAACATATTCAGGTCTGCATTTATTTGCTGAAACACCTCAGTTGGCATTCTGGCAGGTCCTGAAGTCTTACCTTTTGCCAGTGCCTTCAGTATGGCTTGGACCAATGGTTCTTGATTATACGCCACTTCTGGGAAGGGACCCTTTTAACCAGTTATTTTGGTACAGCAACTATGTGACTATTTCTTCCATTTTCTCTTGATGCTTCCAGCATCATTCAAGATTCTGCCCATAGAATTCATCCGTATTGCAACTCAAAGTGTGAATATTTTCTTTGGTTCTTTCAGCTTGAGAAACACTGAACATGGTCTTCCCTTTTGGTTTTCTAACTCCAGCTCTTTGCATATTTCATTTCTCTTTTGTCTTCTCAAGCTGCCACTTGAAATTGTCTGTTCAGCTCTGTTCACCATTTCTTCCTTTTGCTTTAGCTTTTCTACATTCTAACATAAATTTCAGAGTTTCTTTTGGGTTGGGTTGTTTTGTTTTGGGGTGGTTTTTCTTCCCCCTGACATTTTAATGATCTTTTGCTTTCTTCATCTCAGATGTCTTTGATGTCATCCGACAACTTGTCTGGTCTTCACTATTAGTGCTCAATGTCTGTAATCTTCTTAAGATAGTTTTGAAATTCAGGTGGGATAAGCTCAGATCATATTTTGGCTTTTGTGGATTTTTTTTCCATTTTCTTCAGTTTCAATTTGAACTTACCTATGAGCAGATGTTCTGACAATGAGCGTCTCTCCATCGGTTTTTTTTTACAGATGTAATCAATTTGATTGATGTCTGGTCCATTAGATGAGGATCATGTAGTAATAATTTTTTAAAGGTATTATCAATTAATACACCATTGATTATACAAAATTCTATCGTTCAATCTGATTTCAGTTCTCTGACACCAATGCCATATTTTTCAACTATCAATCCTTTTTCTTTGTTTTCAACTTTTGCACACCTTTCATCAATTTTTATGACTGCATCTTGATTGTATGTCTGATCAATTTCACACTGCCGAAGATGGCAGAAACCCTCAATGTCTTCATTTTTTTTTCTTTAGTGGCTGGTGTATATATTTGAACAACCATCGTGTTAACAGGTCTTCCTTGTGTGTGTATGGACATTATCCTATCACTAACAGCATTGCACTTCAGGACAGATCTTGAAACGTTCTTTTTTTTATGACTGAGACATGATTCCTCTTCAATGTGTTATTCTAGGCATAACAGACCATGCAACTCTGATTCAAGATGATCAATGCCAGTTTGTTTCCGCTTATGAATAATGCCTGGGATGTGTATCGGGATGCTTTCTATTTCATTTTTTACAATTTTCAACTTTCATAGATTCATACTTCACACATTCCAATTACTAGTGGATTTTGCAACCATTTCTTCTCCTTTGGAGTCTTGCCACATCAGCAATGGAGGTCCTTCGTTGACTGAAAGCTTTACTCCATTTGAGTAATTAAGGTAGACTCCACTTTGAGGAGGCAGCTTTTCCCTGATGGCTACGAGCCATCCAACCTGAGGTGTTCATCTCCCTGCATGTAGCAGACAATGCTCGGCTGCTCTTCACAGAGTTTTCGGGGGCCCATTATTCAGAGGTGGGTGGTCAGTCTTACTTCTTAGTCTTAATCTATAAGCTCTAGTGAGACCTGTCCACCTAGCTGGTATTTGGTGACATAAATTTCAGTATCACAGTCACATGTAAGTCACCACAATACAACAAACTGACAGAGAAGTCGTGACTGCCTCGGGAATAGGCTTATATTCATCTTGTTCATCTCAGAAAGTAATTACTCAAAAGGTAATTGTGGGGGGGGGGGAAAGGGTGACTATAATACTTAATTTCCTGGGAGTACCCCCCTCTCTCAAAGTGGGGATTCTTTGAGGTCAAGTTCAGCTCAAAATAGAGCTACTGAACTGAGATCCAGGTGTTGGATGTAAAACTGTGGCACACATCCCAAGACAAGCAGGGAGTTTGGCTCACAGTGAGTGCATAATATATACTTTTGGAATGAACAGATAAATTTGCATTTAAAAAAAAAAGCCAAACCCACCCCAAAACTCTATTTTTTCTTCTCAGTAGGCCCAACATAATTCCCATCTCCATTACAGAAAGGAATCTGCCTAAAGCCACAGATCCAGTGCTGACTAACACAGTGCTCTTAACAGGTGCCTAGAGCCAGTTAGAGTCATTAACTCCTGTGATCCTCACAAAAGCTCTGGGAGGGTTGTCCTCCTTATGATACCAATTTTTAGATAAGGAAATAGAGACACAGAGGTGATAAGATCCTGCCCCTGCTTGTGGAGATCACACAGCCAGCATGTGGCAGAGCCAGGGTGCATGCACTTAACTACTATACTACATCACTATACTATATGACACTGCATCTCAGGGGGTGTGCAGGCCCACAAGCCAGGCCCCCACCCGCAGTCCTGTGCCCACACCACCCTTCCACAGGAGTCATGTATTCAACCTTCACCACATCTTTGTTCCATGTGTGGAGGAGAGGGAGCTCTGGTGGCTCAGTCTGGAGGGAGCTGCACTCCTAATTCAAAGGCAAGGCCTCTTTGGCAGTTTGAATCCACCTGCAGTTCCCCAGGAGAAAAATGAGCAATCTCCTCCTGTGCAATTTATTTACAGTCTCCTGAAAACCCCTTGAAAGGGTCAGCATGAGTCAGTTTCAACTGGAAAGCAACAAATGAGTTTATGTATGGAGAATCCAGTAGTGAACAAGACCACTCCTCTTTCCTCCTAAAAAGCTGACATTCTGGCAGGAAATGGGGTGAGGTTGGGAAGTCACTAAGTCACTTCTGACTCGCAGAGGCCCAGAGTAGAACTGCTTCTGTATTTTTCATGGCTGCGATCTTTCAAAAGCCAAAAATCCAGGCCTTTCCTCTAAGACACCTCTGGATGGGTTCAAACCACAAACTTCTGGTTAGTAGCCCAGCACTTAATCACTGTGCCACCCAAGGATGCTCTAGTGGGAAACACAAATCAGCAAATCACAGCCAGGTAAGATGTGGAGACAGATGCTCTGAAGAAAATACTCCAGGCTAAGGGAAGGAGGCTGTGCCCCTTCAGATGAGGAGGTCAGGAAAATCACACCTGACATCTGAGCTGAGACCTGAACAACAAGAAGGAAATAGTCACATAAAGAACTAAAGGAACACACTCCAGACACCAAAGCCAGAACATGAGATAGGAGAAGAACTTGGCCTATTTACGAGCAAAATCAAAGTCAGTCTGGTGGAGTGTGGAGGGACGGGAGGATCTTGGGAGAAAGTGAGTTTAGAGAGGCAGGAGGGGGTCAGTCCCTTTCTGAACTGATTCCAATTGCAGAGAAATGTGATTGCTGGGTGTTGAAGAGTGGCGTGATAATATTCCATTTCCACTTCTGGACATTCTTCTAACTGTCTTGAGGAGAACAGTAGCTGTGAGGCCAACCCAAGGATGGAACAAGTGGAAACACCTGGACTCCATCTCTCCCCCCACAGCCTCTCCGCAGACCTGCTGCATGCTTGGCCCTCCCTATACTGGCACTGGGAAACTAGAAAGAAATGGAGGTGCTTTCCAGTGAGGTGGAGGTGGGAGGTAAAAGGGAGAAGGATTAAAAGACAGTCTAGGGTGGGAAAAAGGCAGAGGGTTCACTTTGTTGCTGTTGTTATTTGGTGCCATCCAGCTGACTACTACTCATAGCAACCCTCTGAACAACAGATCTGAACTCTGCACCAGCCTCATCATCTCTGACACTTGAGCCATTGCTGCAGTCACTGCGTCAGTCCATCTCATCTACTTGAGGGTCTTCCTCTCTTTTGCTGACCCTCCACCTTTCTAAGCATGATGTTCCTTTCCAAGGAATAGTCCTTCCTAACAATATGTTCAAAGTATGTGAGACGAAGTTTCACCATCCTTACTCTGGCTGCACTTTCTCCAAGACATATCTGTTTGTTCTTTTTGCTGTTCATGGGATATTTAGTACCCTCCTCCAATACTCCCAGTAACCTAAATAAAAGGGAATAAGGCAAGAGGGGCTTCATGGATGAGGTGACACTTGGGAACGCACCTTGAAAGAGAGTTGGAGGAACGTGTGGAAAAAACACACTAAAAGGAGGGAATGGTATGGGCAGGGTGATAGGGGATAGTGATTTGGAGCAACCTAAGAGCAATAATATCAGTTTGAAGACTAAGGTGCATCTGATTTGGGTCATAGTCTTTTAAATCACTTGCTATGCTGAACAATGAATAAGGATGACAGAAGAAGGATGTATATGAGTTGTGGTATTGGAGAAGAGAACTGAGTATCCCATTGACCATCAAAAGAACAGACACATCTTGGAGAAGGTGCAGCCAAAGTGCTCCTTAGAGGCAAACATGATAAAGCTTCCTCTCACAAACTACCAATGACCAAGAGGAAGCCGTACTCTCTCAAGATTAACAGCCTTGCAAATCGAAGGAGAGTTGTTTTGAGTCAATCAACTTGCCGGCATGAGCTCTGGAGTTTGCTGTTTAGAAGATGAGACGCGGGGCGGGCGGAGGTGCGGTGCAGCCAGGGCCGTCTTCTTCGAGCAGGAAGCACCAGGAAGACCGTTATTTAGTTATTTCTTGGTTTATTGTTTGTCTCCTCTACCACACCCTTTCTACATGTCCAACACGCCGACACCCCGTATCTCTGGGTACCCCAAAGAGTGAGAGGTGGGTAGGGGCGCTCAGAACTGCAGCCTCGAGGCCACACCCCCTGGCCGCCTACCTGGGTTCTTCGGCTCCTCATCCACCACCGGCGGCAGGCTGGTCACTGGCTTCTCCTTGGCAGCGCGCTCCGCCTTCTTGGTCGCAGCAGCAGATCCTCTCTGGGTCCCGGGACGTGGGGCCCTGGGCGAGGTTCCCGGGGCGCTCGTCTCGCTAGACATGCTAGTGGCGGCTCTGAGGACTTCAGCGGAGGAGGGGAGGTACGACGGGACTCTGCAGAAGTCGCCCCACCGATGACCGTATCACGTTCTCTGTCCACTGCCGCAAACCCTGCCGGACAGCGGCGGATTCAACTCCGCGTCCCTCACCACGGCAACCCGGAATGAGGGTACTGCAGAGAGCATGAGGGACCGGCAGAGGGCGCCGCCGGGTCCTCTGCCTGTGGAAGGAGCCCCGAGGTGAGGGCGGAGCCACGTCGGGGGCGTAGCCGGGACAACTGCAAAAGGGGAGGGACTATGCTATCTGGGGCGGGGCTTTGGTGGGGGTGGGACTAAATCAGGTCCTGAACTTCTCTGAGTTACCCAAGAAAAGGGTGGCTCAACATCACAGCAGGAGGTTAGTACTTTAAGCTTGACCTGCCGAGCCTATGAAAAGGAGGAGGGGCTACAGTCGCCCGTACCTGGGCGGAACCTTGAGACTGGAAGAGGGACGTCTGCCATGGGAAGAGCGCAAAGGCAGGAACCCGGAATCTGGGATCCGCCATAAGTGAGATGAAAGCGAGGAGGGCATGAGTGCTGTGCCAGCGGCCGCTCAAAACCTGGGAGTACGTGGCGAAAGAGCGAGGTCAGGGCAGGACCAAGGCGGGAGTGGGACGCCAAGCAATCAAAAATCACCCACTGGTGAGAAGCCAAACAGACTCCACTTTATATAGCGCTCACTTCATTTGAGTAACCAAACCCTGTGTGTGGAAAATTTCTGCCCCGAGCCCTAAGGTTTTGTCTTGGCCGGTTCCCAAAATAGTAGTTGCTATTGTTTCTGTAAACATTTTGCCCTGTAGCCTGATAAACCCAAAATGTAGACATTTTGCACGGTACCCATGACTACGTCACTGTACCCTTAGAATTATGTCAACAGCAGGATATTGTAGCCTGGGCCCACGTAGCCCAGCATCCAGAGGAGACTAAGGATATAAAAAAACCTAGCTGAAGCTAGGAAATTGGGGGATCCTGCAGTGTTGCTGGGACCTCACCCCTACCCCCTGCTGCGCAGCTAATAAAAGACCTCACTTAAAATGGTAGCGTGTGCCTCTTAATCTGTTGCGCACACCAGGAGGCAGAGAAGTGAGCAAGAGGCTGGCCCGCCCTCTGGAGGCCACACACCTGCCCCTTAAGGAGAGGACGCTTGGTAGAAAGAGCTTTGAGAGACCTGTAGATTGGCCTAGCGCCCAGTTTCCGTTCCCCATCTATTTAGCCTCCTCACTTAATGAGCTGATGAGAAGGGTCATGTTCCCTACAAATCTTAAAAAATCCTCAAGCAATGTCAACCCAGCTTCCTTCCGGGATCCTATTTGAGCAGATCCTCTCCAGTCCACTTCCTTGCCTTCAGTTCTCACGCCCTGCCCCAACCAGTTCCACTCTTGCCCATAGCACTTGCCCACCTTTGAGGCATTGTGTGTCATACTTTGAGAAAGTCACTGACCTGTGCAGTCTATTTGTTCTGTGCTCTTAGAAAACAATTTGCTCTTCTAAGCACTAAAGAGCAATGATGTCAATTTAAAGACTAAAGTGTATTTTCAAATGCTTCCTATGCATCTGAAAGTTGGACAGTGACTAAGGATGACAGAAGACGAATTGATGTCTCTCGTGATGGAGAAGGGTACTGAATGTCCCATGAACTGTCAGAAGAACAAATAAGCCTGTTTTGGAGAAAGTGTAACCCAGGTGTTATTTAGTGACAAAAATGGTGAAACTTTATTTCACATACTTTGGGCATGTTGTTGGGTGGGGTAAGAGACAGTCCTTAGAAAAATATATCATTTAAAAATAAAAGGATAACTAGTAAAACACGTATAGGGATGCAAGAGGGGAAGGGGTGGGAGCAGAGTGGTGAGGATGGGTAGGGGCAAAACCACAGGGTTGTATAGTTTGGTGGGTGGAAGGAACAGGTGAAGGACCAGTGGGGACCTGAAAAAAATGGGGAATGAAGGGTAAAGTCCAATGGTGATTGATTTTATAAGACATAATAAATGGGAGTGACTGTATGAAATAAAATATGAATGAAAAATAGTGTGAAACACAATCTATATGTACTTTGTGAGCAAACTAATATAAAAGAAACAAATGAACAAAAAAAAAGCAACATGGGTGGGGGGTGTAGAAAGGAAAATGTGCAACAATGAATGTTATGTGCCGTCGAGTTGCCTGCGATTCACAGCGACCCTATGTACAACAGCCCTAAACGCTGCACTATCTCTTGCCAATCTGTCTCCAACACACCTATCCCCATTACCCCAGTCACTACTGAATCAATCAATTTTATTGAGGGTCTTCCCCTCCTGCACTGTCCCTCCACCCTCACAAGCATGACGTCACTCTCCAAGGACTGACCCCTCCTTGTAACATGTCCAAAGTATGTCAGACAAAGCTTCAGAATACTTGTCTTCAAGGAGCAGCCTGGCTTCACCCTCTCCAGGACTTGTTTGTTCTCCTAGCAGTCCATGATGTATTCAATATTCTTCCCCAGCACCACAGCTCAAAGGCATCAACTCTCCTTCTATCATCCTTAGTCAATGTCCAGTCCACTGATGCATAGCAAGTAATTGCAAAGACCATGGCCTGTATCAGGCATACCTTAGTCTCCAGACTGACATCGTTGAATGAATGAATGAATGAAAAATCTAACTTCACTGTAAACTTTTGTTAAAATCACAATTTAAGAAAAAAACAACCAAAACACCAAATTATTCCTGTACATTAGTACAGAGCTTTATTGTAAAGAAAGAAAAAAAGACATCAATCTAGGAAAGGTGGACAGTCAGTTAAAGAGAGGAAGACTCAACTAGATAAACTGAGAGATTGATATAGTGACTATGACAATGGGCTTGTGCATATAGAGATGGTGAAGCAGGGCTAGGTTCTGATCTGTTGTTCATAGGGTCACTATGCACTGAGGTCTACTCTGGGCACCTAAGAACAACACCACAACACTGGTCACACTGTTGCCAGGACTTTTCATTCACTCAGTCACTCAGACTTTTGGAGAACATTTATTAAGTGCCTACTATGTGTCAGGAGGAACAAATTTGAAACAAAAACACAGGATTCATGCCTTTGGAAACTTTACAATCTAGTAAGGGAAGCAGAGATTAACCAGTCATCACACAAATAAATGACATACAACAGTGTCCTGTACCCTGCCAGTCTTGTTGGGGAATCTGGTAAAGGAATACAAGTGTAATCATTGCTATGAAAAACAAGTGGGTTGAGTCCTTCCCTGAGGAGAAGGGATGGTTAAGTAGGAGTCAACAGCTAAGTGGGAGAGAAAAGGCATTCTAGATGTGTGAAGTCCTTGTGGTAGGAAGAAATGTAGGGAGTAAGGGGATCTAGACACGAGTGTGACTGGACTCTAAGTGACAAGGCCAAAGGGGAGCAAAGTTCAAAATGAGGCGGATGGGGCGTCAGTGAAGACTTTGGGGCAGGGTGTAATCTAACCGATTTGTATTTTTAACAGTGGAGTAAAGGTGATACCAAGTAAATGCAGGGAGACCATTTAAGAGGCTACTGGCAGAATTAGATGAGTTGGGGCTGCCTCTCTACTAAATAGTGAATGTCTTAGGACAAGGCCTATGCTTGTTGAACCTCTGACGTCCTGCACAAACAAGCAGACACATACACACATGTACACCCCAGACTGGGGAATACAGAGAAAAAATAGGTGCCCAATGTAAATTTGTGAGACAAACTAAAATCAGAATATCCATCATCATTCATCAGTTTATATACAAGGGGTCTGAGAGTAGAGGGTTAGGAAAAGAAAACCCTGGTGTCCTGCTGACCAGTGTCATCCACACCAGGAAGCTAGGCTCCCCTGTCCTCTCCATCTCTTCCTCCATTCTCCATCTCTTTCTCCATTAAATGTGTTCACATCCGTGGCCTTGGGCCTGCTCTGTTTCTGGCACGGTCCATAGGGCTCTGTCCTCAGCCTTGGGCAGCAAAGAGCAAGGGTGCTGACCTCTCCACATCTTCCTGACATTCAGCGGTCCTGGCGCCAAAGTGGGGGTGATGGAGGATGCCGTACTGGGGGCAAGTCATAATGTCCAGGGATGTGGCTGTTCTTGGGTGAATCATAGTGGCCAGGGGGTAGTCCTGGAGGCAGTGGGGGCTGGGAGCCCAGAGAGTCTCGATCTGGATAAAGAGGGAACAGAATAAGAGGGGACAGATTCCTTGACCTCCCACCCATCCCTCCCCTCTCCAGCCTCTTCTCCCAGGGTGAGGTGCCTGGACACAGGCTGTGAAGTTCTGAGCAAGAGCCTCCCACCTCCTCAGCTGCCAGGGGCAGAGGCCACTTTGACCTGCCCACTTCATGGGTATGAGGATACTCTGTCACCTGTCTGTCACTTTCCTAGGTACTAACTCCATCTCAGGTGCTACACAGGCTGCTTCAAATCTGCCCTATTTCTAAGGCTTAGCCCTGTGATACAGGTGCCATCACTCCATTTCACAGATGAGCAAACAGGCTTTAAGACGCAACATAACCTCCTTGACCCATCACCTTGCACCTGGTTTGAACTCAGGTCTGGCTCTAAAGGCCTCGCTCTTGCTGACACAGCATTGTGCCTTTCCTCGTCCTCCCATTCCACTTTTTTTCTCCACTCTTGTCCCAGTTCTTTCTACTTCTACTTCAGCAAAAGAGAGCTCACCATGGGTCAGCGGGCTGGGCTGTTCGTAGGTGCCACTGTCTCTCTGTGGCTGGGGGTGTCGCCGCCTCTGGCTGTCCCGAAGCTGGGGTGGCTGCCTGGGTGGAGAACCTGAGGGGGGGCCTTTCATCTCTACATAGCTGCTCTCTCGGAGGCCCCCTAGCAGGCTCGGCAGGTCCCGGATGGTGGCATAGGGGTTCTCACTGCTCAGGGAAGCCACACTGGCCCCCAGCCCCCCCTCAGCGATGGGTCCTAAAAAGAGTGAGAGGCAGGCAGGCACAGCTGAAGCACCATGGGAACTCCAACTCAGCCCCCTTCCTCGTTGCCTTCTGCCCCTGTACCTTTACTATAGAACTGGCCAAGGCCATTACTGTTGCTATAACTGTAGCTTCGGTCCAGCCGGCTGTTACCTGGGGAGGAGGTGGCAGTTCACAGTCACACCCCTGTTCCCTCCCCAGGCTCCCATCTCTTCTAGAACTGAGGCCCAGAACTGCCTCTCTGGCCACGGATGCTCTAGCACCTACCCCTGTCCAGGGGTCCTGCTGGGGGCTCCCGATGGTGCTTCCAGTCAGCAGGCAGGGTAGCATGGTTGTCATGCCCATGGGCTCCGCCCGATCGTTCGGGAGCCTGGAGGCTGGCAAAGAGCTGACTTCCTGGGACCTAATAGGAGAGGAACACATTAGGGAGACTGTCAGGCCAAAGCAGAATTTTCCAGCCAGCCAGGTCCTCTGCTCGGCCAGAGCACCCCCTTCCCCAGCACTGACCTTGTTAGGGGGCGGTGGGTTGGGTGAGCACTGGGACAAGGTGTGATAGCTTGGGTTGGAGTAGTAGTGGCTGTAGCTTGGGGGAACATCTGCAGGAGAGACACAAGTGCAGTGTCAGCTCGGCAGCACAAAGGACGTGAGAGCTGAGGAATTGTTCCCAGAAATCCATCATTTGACTTCCTTGCCTCCAACTCCCCACCTCCTGAGGTTCCAGAGAGGGACCCAGAAGCCCCACACCCTGTCCCTCCTGTGTGTCTGTGAGCCAGCAGGTGATCTCTGCCCCCACCCCCAAGCCAGCTCACCTGGCATGACGTACTCAGAACCGTCCAGCCGCCCACTGCTGTAGGCCACTGCCAGGTGTTGGTGCTCCTTGCCTTTTTGCCAATGTCGATAACCAATGAACAGTGCCACCAATGCCACCACCAGGGACCCCAGCACTGCAATGCCAATCACCGCCCCCAGCGAGTTATAGGCCACTGGAGTGGTGGGCCTCATGGTGAAGGACTCCTGGCTTCCTGTGTGGGATGGATGGTCACTCAGAGTGGTGTTTTGGCTCTGCTGGTGAGCGTGCGGCACATGCATGGCAGCGACATCCAGTGGGGAAGTAGAGATGGTACAAGGAGCCAAGGTCCTGGCAGAAACCCAGGGTGGTACCTCGTGTCCTGGCTCCCTGGGAACAACGGGGGCTAGACAGAAACTCACCAATCCTGCAGGGGGCACCACTGTGACCTGGGGGACACACACAGGCCCCACTCTCGGGATGGCACTTTTCTCCAGGTCCACACTGGCATGGCTGAGAACAGTTGGTGCCAAACATCCCTAGAGGGCAGCCTGGGGAGGGGGCCATGAGGGAGAGACGGATTAGCGGGCCAGCAAACTAGTCTCCCGGGCAGGACTTCCTGGAGCAAGGACTTCCCCTGGTGCTGGTACCTTCTAAGCAGAGGAGTCCAGCCCAGCCTGGAGGACAGGCACAGCTCCCATCCTGGAGGTGACAGGTCCCACCGTTGTGACACTGGCAAGGCTGGGTGCAGTTGGCTCCCCAGCGTCCTGAGGGGCATGCTGCAGGAGACATGTGGCCTTATGAGGGAGGCAGGGACAGCCCCCCTCCAGTGAACTCGTGGCCCTCATATATCATGGAAGTCTTTCAGTTCAGCGTTGGTCTCCCCAGGAACACCAGCACTTACACAGTATCTGTATACCAGCGACTCACTCTGTCTCCCCGATCCAGTCTCTTCCCAACTAATGCACTCAACTGCAAACTGCATACCCACACCTGGCTTGCAAATAGACACTTCACAAACATGCCCAGTACCAGTTACCTAGGTTGCTTAGCTTTGGACACTTCTGTTTACATGACAGAGAAGTAAATGTCCATCCTACTTATGGCACTGTATTTGTATTTGTCTTTCTAACACTAACAATCATAGTTGTTACAAACTTCTATGAAGAATACTTTGCCAATATCACTCCCCTCTTTACCAGGTCTCTCAGAAAATGAAAACCACTCTTTTTCATGGTGTCTGTAATTTGTTTCCCTTTTAAAAAAATTTTACTTAATCTTTTAAAGAAATCTTTCCTGTGGTCTTCTTTATATACTAATGTGAGAAAGAGAGCATGTAAAAAGAGGGCATAAAAGTAAATTGAACAAAAGTCAATAGAAAAATGTAACAATAACAATTTAAATAAGTAGAAGAACATATACCAAACTGAACTTATGATTCTTGCCCCTGGCACACACACCCGGAGAAAGTATTACCCACTGATTTCTCTCCCTGATCTAGTCCAAATTCATAATTTAGAATCATACCCAGCATGGAGCTGATGCTCAATGACTATTTGTAAACTCAATGACCAAATCAAGGTGAGTCTGGGGACTTTTATGTCCAGGAGCAGGAGGAGAACAGAGATCTCCGCATCCTTGGCTCACCCTCTTTCAATATGAAGTCGGACACACTGTAACCACATACGTACGCTGAGAGCAGTCACGGCCTGTCCAGCCAGCCAGACAATAGCAGGTTCCATCCGAGGGGTGGCAGGAGGAGTGGTTAGCACACTTGCAGGGCACACAGCGTTTACCATAGCGGCCAGGCTGACAGGCTGAGGGAAAGGGGCATTTTGCAACTGGGGGCAAGAGCCAGCCCTCAACCAGCATCCTTCCCTCCCTAGCTCCTTCCTGTTGAACTGAGTGTCCTGAAGACAGGAGTCAGAGAAAAGACCTCGAGGGGTGAAGCAGGGCATCTGGCACAAACACTACACCCTATAGTTGACAGGTGGGAGAGGAAAGGAGGGAGCCTCACGTCTCTGGCAGGATGGGCCTCGGAATCCGGGTACACACACACAGTTGCCATTTGCAGGGATGCAGGTGCCCCCATTCTTGCAGGAGCAAGTATTGCTGCAGTTGGTTCCCCAGAAGCCATCAGGGCAGGGCAGGTTGCAGCGAACACCTGCAGGAGTGAAAGGTAGAGGAAGCCCGGCTGAGCCTCCTCCTGTCCTGTGGGGGTTCCTCTGGATGCATTTCTAATGGATGTACCTCCTGAGTTCAACATCAGATCTGGGGCCTGGACACCCAGAACTCACCCATCCAGCCAGCCTGACACTGGCAGTGTCCATCAACAGGATGGCAGCCATCAGCATGGTCACAGTCACAGTGGTTGGCACAGTTTTCACCAAACTGTCCTTTCTTGGGAAGGGGGGTTGGGTGGGGAAGGCAGATTAGTCAGCTAGGAGTGCAGTGGTCCCTCCCTTCCCTCAGACAGATAGACAGGCTGGTCAGCACTCACCGGGCAGGGCAGTTGGCAATGAACTCCCTGCCACCCAGGAGTACAGGTACAGGCTCCAGTTTGGGGGCTGCAGGCTGCTCCATGGGCACACTGGCAGGTGGCATTACAGCCGAAGCCCCAGGTTCCAGCAGGACAGGGCACAGAACAGTTACCACGCTGCCAACCTAGAAAAAGGAGTCTTGCAGGTAAGCAGGTAGGAATGGGAACTCAGGCCCCTCTTGGGCGAGCACACCCTGGATGCTGGCTATGCCCAACTATGCTACGAGCTGGAAGTGGGAATGCGAGTGAGGCGCACATGAGAAACATGCATATAAACCATTAAATCTGTACAGGGGGCTAAGTGACTTCTGGTGCTGTACTGGTCCCGTCTCACTCATGGCTTCTTCTGCAAAGTAAAGGGGGTGGGCAGCAAACCCAAATGCTGATGTGACCCCCACTGATAACTGACTTGTCCTTGCTATACTGAAGACAATAGAGAAAGGTGAGGACTTCAGGCTAGATGTTTGTTAAATCTACTAGAGAGCTAGTCAAACAAAACTCATCTGCAGCAGAATTCAGCCCACGGGTTGTCAGTGTGCTACCCCTTGGGAAATCTCAGAGATCATTCCTGGCACTGTGTGGTTCTATGGCCCTGTATCATTGAGGGTCTGGAAAAAGCTCACCAATGTCTTCTGGACTGAGTCTTTTAATGACGAGGATGATTTTTTTTGTGTGAAGAAAAATATCAAAGTAGCTATTCCAGGAAGGAAGTAGCCTGGCAATTTTCCCACAGCCCTGCTCTTTCCCTGCACCAAATCCACAATCTTGGGCCAGCCTCCAGCCTCGGGCGCGCCCCTCTCCCAGAGTCCCCACCCGTCTCCCAGAGGCCCCGCCCCTGGGGCGCATAGCTGGTACCTTCCTTGCAGATGCACGTGCCGTCTATGGGTGAGCAGGCAATGGCATTTTCGCAGGAGCAGCGTGAGGAACAGTTAACCCCAAACGTGTCAGGGGGACAGAGGCGCTCGCAGTGCTGGCCCTGGACAGGGGGTGGGCGGAAGAGTGAGGGGGCAGGCCTGCTCCTCGGGCCCCTCCCCGCCTCCTCGCCGACGGAGCGCCTCACCGTGTAGCCCGGCGCACACCGACAGAGGCCGCTGTCGGCCTGGCAGACGCCGCCGTGCAGGCAAAGGCAGTGCTCCTGGCAGCCCGGCCCGTGCGTGTCCTGCGGACAGCTCTCGTTGCAGTGGAGGCCGGCCCAGCCCGGCAGGCATGAGCACTCCCCATTCATGGGGTGGCAGCTGCGGACAGAGGCCCCGAGTGGTGTGAGGCCAGGCAGGTTGCACTCCCAGCCCCCAGCCCTCTGCGCGCTGGGGAGCCAAGCATCAAGCAGCTCCGGGCTGTTCGTAACACAGACACCCCAGATCTCTTCCCGCCCAAATATCCTTTCTTTTCCCTTCTGCGGTCTCTATCCGAACTTTGCACATGCACTGACACTTTTTGAGATTTTAGGGGCGAAGACTTCTCACATTGGCTTCCTGACCACAGTATCCCCACCTGAGGCTGTGCTCGGAATCACACATGCAGGGCGTCTGGCAGTTGAATCCATAAAGGCCGTCCTGGCAAAGGCGTTCGGTGCAACGGTCTCCGGTGAAGCCGTGTTCACACAGGCAAGCGCCGTTGGCCGGGAAGCAGCGGGCTCCAGGGGCGCAGTCGCACGTCTCGGCACAGTCCTGCCCAAAGCGGCCCACGGGGCACTCCTCGCGGCACCTGGGCATCTGGATCAGTGAGCTGCGCCCCCACCTCCTCCCGGCCCGCTCTCGCCTCCTCCTGCCAGTGTCCGGCCACTCACCTATCCCCGGTATAACCCGGAGCGCAATGGCACTGCCCAGTGAACCGGTCGCAGAGGCCACCGTTGTGGCAGTGACATTCCAGGGAGCAGTTAGGTCCATAGAAGCCCTCCGGGCAGGGTAGAGAACAAATGGTGCCCTACAGGGGTGAGAAGTTGGTAAAATCAGGCGTCCAGCCCCCACCGTATACCCCAACGATCCCTGGACACTCCCAAAGAATCCACTTTGTTCATATTCATTCTTTTCAGGGCCTTTTTGAAAACCACCCCTAGAATTCTCCCCAGATTCTCACCACACCCTTCATACCATCCAGCCAGGTGGGCAGCTGCAGAGCCTCTGGGAATCCTGGCAGACACCCTCATTGTGGCAAGGGCAGATGCTGGGGCAGATGAAGCCAGCAGTGGCCTTGGGACAGGCCCTCTCACAACTGCAGGGCAGAGTGGGGGAGATCAGTTAGTAGACTTGTCAGTCCCTGCTGCCCTCACTGCCTCTAGGAGCTGACCTGACCACAAGACTCAGACTCACCCCTGCCCTGGGCATTTCAGCCCTCTACCCTGATAGGAACAGCAGGAATCTGAGATCAAAAGTTTCTAAGGCTGGAAATCTCAGAAGACATACAGCACCACCATGGTGCTAGGAACCTAGATAGTATAGAATGCTTTCGTGGGTGCTTGCTACCCTGTGTACTCTACACTCTACTTCCTCACCTTTCCTCATGCTGTTCTCTTTGGAGGAATACCTCTGCCTATTGTCTTTTTATCCATCCTTAAGGACTCAACTGAATTGGACCTCTCCCCTCCAGGAAGCCTTCTGTGATCTCCAGCTAGGTACCTCTCTCCCAATGACTTCCCAGTAGTCCCAGCACTTGCCTTGCCACTGAATATTCTGGATTCTTACATCACCACCACTTTACAAGTAATTTCACACTCATGCTGTTTCAACAGCAACCCTTCTAGGTTGGCAATAGGCCAAAGTCACACCCATTGCCATCAAGTCAATTCACAGGAGCCCCATATGTTACAGAGCAGAACTTCCCTATAGAGTTTTTTTGGTGATAGTCTTTTTGGCAGCAGATTGCCAGGGCTTACTTTTGCAAACATCACTGTTGTTGCTGTTAAGTGCTTTCGAGTTCAGCACAACCCACTGTGAACCTATGAACAACAGAACTGACCCCTGTCCCATCCTGTGTCATCCTTATCATCCCTGACACACTTGAGCCCATTGCTGCAGTCACTGTGTCAATCCACTTCATTGAGGGTCTCCCTCTTTTGTGGGCCCTCCACCCTTCCAAGCATGCTGTCCCTCCTTCTCCAAGCAATAGCCTCTCCTAGCAACATGCTATATGTGAAATGAAGCATTGCAATCCTTGTCTTCAAAGAGCACTATGGTGTCACTTTCTTCAAAACATATTTGTTCTTCTGGTGTCCATGGACTATTCAGCACTCTTCTCCAACATCAAAACTCAACAGCATCTATTGCTCTCCTGTCATCTTTATTTATTTTCCAGCTCTAGATGTATAAGCACAATCAAGTGTTCTGGGATTCCCATTCTCCTCAAGGTTAACCACAATTTGTTATGATCCACACTATGCAAATGCCTTTGCATAGTCAATGAAAGACAGATTTATATCCCTCTGGTACTCTTTGCCTCTGTCAAGATCCATCTGACACTGGTGATAATATCTCTAGTGCCATGACCTCTTCTAAACCCAGAACAATTGATTGTGCATCTGTGAAACCTACACTTGAACCAGGAAGCAGTCCTCAGAACAGAGGAGAGAAACACTGCATGGTTCAAAATCAGGAAAGGAGTGTGTCAGGGATGTGTCCTGTCTCCATACCTTTATAATCTATATGCAGAACGGTCACTTGGGAGGCAGGCTTTACGAGGAGGAATGTGGCATCAGTATTGGAGGAAGACTCATCAACAACCTACTTATGCAGATGACACAACCTTGCTTGCTGAAACTGAGGAGGACCTGAAGCACTTGCTGCAGAAGGTCAAGGACTGTAGTCTTCAATATGGATTGAAGCTCAACATCAAGAAGACAAAAATTCTCACCACTGGGCCAATTAGTAGCACCATAATAGATTGAAGTTGTTAACAGTTACAACTTTTGAAGTTGTTAACAGCTACAGCTTGCTTGGCTCCACAATCAACACTTTTGGCACCAGCAGTCAGGAAATCAAAAGACGAATTGCATTGGGTAAATCTGCTGTCAGGGATCTCTGCAGAATACTGAGAAGCAACGACGTCAGTCTAGAGACTAAGGTGCAACTTAATCCAGGCCATGGTCTTTGAGATTGCTTGTTATGCTTCAGAGAGTTGGACAGTGACTAAGGATGACAGAAGAAGAATTAATGCCTTCAAGTTGTGGTGCTGGAGAAGAGTCTTGAACATATCATGGACCACCAAGAAGACAAATAGGTCTGTCTTTGAGAGGGTGAAACCAAGTTCCTCCTTGCAGACTAGGATTTTGAAGCTCTGTCTCACATACTTCTGGCATGAGGCCAGGAGGGACCAGTCCTTGGAGGACATTATACTCGGAAGCATGGAGGGACAGCCTGTCAGAGGAAGGCTTCCGTTAAGATGGAGTGATACAGTAACCAGGACAATGGGGGTAGGTGTATCAGAGTCAGTGAGACTGGCTCAGGACAGGACAGGCTTCAGAGCTGTTGTACACAGGGTTACTATGAGTCACAGGTGACTCAATGTCATATAACAAGAACAACAACAGATGCATAACAGGTGATTGGAGAGACGATGGCTTGAATCAGGTACATCTTACTCTTTAGACTGACATCAATGCTCTTCAAGACTTTGAAGAAATCCTTGACAGCAAACTTTCCCAATGCTATATGCCTCCAGATCTCCTGGCTGCTGGTACCAAGGGAGTTGGCAATGTCAGTCTTTTCTCCATCTAATATGTTGCCCATTGGCCCAGTGGTGAGGATTTTTGTTTTCTTGATGTTGAGATGTAATCCATGGCTGCAGTCCTTGATGTTCTGCAACAAACACCTGAAAGTCCTCCTCACTTTCAGCAAACAAGGTTGTGTCATCTGCATGACACAGGTTATTGATGAGTCTTCCTCCAATACTGATGCCACGCTCTTCTTCATCAAGTCCAGCTTCTTAAATGGTTTGCTCAGCATACAGATTGGATAAGTTTGGAGAAAGGACACAGCCCTGATGCACACTTTTCCTGATTCCAAATCATGCATTAGGTAAGTTATTGGACAACTTTAAGGTTGGTGAGTGAACTATTATAAATTATACTACTCCCATTTTATAGATATAAAACAAACATAAAATCAGCTTCTCCCAGCTCACTCAGTTGGTGCGGGTGATGAACTAGAATCTTGTCCTCTCTACTGTATCCCGTGTTTAGGATCTTCTCTGAGTCCCCTGCTGACTCCATGTACACTTGCGAGGCCCCAAACCTACAAATTCATTAGTTTCTTGACACCTGGTTACTCACGTGGGCCCAGTTTTCCCGGGGGGGCAGAAGCAGGCTCCAGTCTGGGGGTTGCAGGGTGCCCCATGACACTGGCACCTGAACTGGCAGGCAGGACCATAGTGGCCAGGAGGGCAGGGCTGAAGGCAGTTAGGGGGCTGCAGGCCAGACGGACAGGAACACTTGCCGCTCTTAGGATCACAGGAACTGCTGTTGCCACAGGTACAGGGCTTGTCACACTGCTGCCCCCATACTCCTGGTTCACACTCTGTGAGATAAAAAGGGCAGGAGGAGGTGTTCATGGAGCCTAAGCCCTCCCCACCCCAGCTTCTAGCTATTCCCTGTCTCTTGGCCCCCCACAAATGTCTTTCCTGACTTGAGCCTATCACCTGCATGATAACTCCAGAGAAGGTAGCTGGCTATAATGGGGCTTCGGTGGGTAACTGCCCTGGGGTCCAAATGTCTGCGTGTTGGTGGAGATGGAATGCCCAACAATCCTATGTTCTTGTCCCCAAGACGGCAAGAGGCCACCTTCTGGGATCAGCAGCCACTTACTACTGGAACAGTCGTCACCCCGCCAGCCTTCCACACACTGGCACTGATTGGGCGCCATGCAGCGGCCATGGACACACTCCTGGGTGCACAGAGCTAGGGCAGAAATGAATGGGTGTGAGTGAGATGCTTCCACCCCTGCCCCTCATCCTCCCACAGGGCCTTTTCAAGCATCAGCTCTGCCTCCAAGATGAAAACAGACTGAGAAGCAGCAATCCAGGATCGGGACTTTACAAAATCCCAAGATTCTGGGCTTCCCAATCTCTTCTTGTGCAATTTTCTAAACCCTTGAGTTGGAAAATGAGAGCCAATTTCCTGGTGTGGAGGAGGTTCAAGAGGCTTCCCGAGGGCAGGGGGTCAGGCGGTGGGTCAGGCTGAGAAGGAACCAAGGCTGAGGGCTGGAGAAAAGGCAGAATAGAGCCCAGACAAAGGGTTACACCAGGGTGCAGGGAATGGGAGATGCAAAGGGAATCAGGATAGACTGGAACAACAGACAGAAACAGAGAAGTCCTCCTCCCGCCCACGCGCCATGAGGCGGACTTGGGAGAGTGGGTTTGACCAATCCACACTTTTTCTCCTTCTTCCCCCAAAGTCGCTAACTCAGCAGATTTCCGGGCAAAGAGGGAGGAGGGGCCATGGCGCCCTCTACAGGACTCACGGACACAGATCCCGCTGCTTTCGTAGAAACCTTTGCAGCACTGAAGGCGCTGGCGGTGGTTGGTCTTCACCACCTGGCGGTACACGGTCCGGTAGACGACCCTGGGAGCGTCCAAGCAGTCCTTAGACCCCGGCTCCGAGGCCCCGCTGCCCACCCTCAGCACAGTGCGGCACGGGGGACGGCTGGGGACACCGGCAGACACTCTGGGCTGGGATGGGGAGGACAGAGGGGCATTGCCGCATACACACCCCCCCCCACCCCGAGCATTCAGTAAGTACACCAGAGACACAAGCACAACGCACGCCCACCACGCGCACACATCCCCAAGCACCCCAGACACGCACATTCCGACACTTCCACAGAGAATGAGTTCCTTGAGGTCAGATGTTCACTCTAAACTCGAAAATTTCTGAGGTTCTGTCGAGAAATCAGGGGGCATGAAGGGCTAAAGGCAGGCAGATGGCTCCTTTCTCCTGCTCGTGGAGGGGGAGGGAGGACACTCACGTGGGCCGGGGACAGATGTGGGGGCCCTCCCAGGGCCGGTCGCAGGGCTCCGAGGGGATCAGGCTGAAGGGACGAAAGTGGGACTCCTTGGTGGTGGTGGTGAAGCTGTAAGATAGGGCAGGGAGGAGGTCAGAACTGACATGGGCAAAGGCAGGAAGTAAGGGCTTCACGGGCTTGTTCATGATGGGGCTCATCCAGTCTTAGGGTTGAGACACCCCATCTCTAAAGTCTGGAGGGATCTTCCCAGGACCGGAATGTTTCCAGATCCCCCATCAGTCTTACCCTCACACTACTGCAGCTTGGATTTTCTCTCCTCCCTTCTCATCCCCTGTTTATTGGGAAGATTGAGCTAGAACAGACTTCCGGGCCCAGCTGATGAAGATGAGTTAATCCTTATCTAGCTCATTTCTGCCCTTAAGATTTTGTTTCCCAGCCCTGACCTCGTACCTCTGTTTATTTCACAGCGAGTAACTCCCACCCTGTGTCCTGCTCTGCACCCAGCCAAGACTGCAAAGGGACCAAGAGAATGGGACAAAAAGGGGGAACACAGAGAGGAGAGACAAAGACTGAAGGAATACCAGAAAAGAAAATGGAATGGGGGGGGGGTAGAGAGACAGTAGAGAAAGAAAGACGGATGAAGGGGGAAAGAGGAAAGAGAGAAGGAGTGAAGAGAGGCCACTCTCCCCCAGTGTGGAGAGAACTGAAGATCCCTGAAGGCCCCCTCTCACCTTTCCCAGAACCTGCAGACATTAGGGTCACTAGGGTTGAGGGATCCAGCCAGTCTCAGGCCCAATGCCAGGAGAAGGAAGGGTCTCAGAGGTGGTGACATTGCAGAGGGCTTCATAAGTCACAAGTCACGTGCAGGGCAGGAGTGAGGACACTGCAACTGGAAGCCGCTGGGAGGATGGAGGGTCTGCAGAGACCTGAGAGGGGAGTGCACAGAGAGTCTGCTCCACTTACTCCTCTGACCCCAAGCTCCCTGGGGTCCAGCTACCCAAATCTTCTGCTTTCCAGCCTTTGTTCCCACTCTTTCCTCTGCCTGGAAGGTCTCCTTCCTGGGCACTCCTCTTTCAAGATCTAGCTCAGGGGTCACTGCTTCTCAGCTCTGCTCTCCACTCCCACTCACACCCACCACCATGTTAGTGTCTGTTCCTTGCCTATGCCCTCCAGGACCCAATGTCCTTTCTCTCTGAATCTCCAACCCAGGACCTAACCTAGAACTTTGATATCCCTACCCAGGTGTGAAACCGGAGCCAACGAAAAGGTATGAAGGAAGCTAACTCGGGCTCAGTTGGAGGAAGAACTGTCAGAGCAGTTCAGTAATAGAATTGGCTGCCTCAGCTTTGTCACTGGATTGATGTAGGCAGAGGCCAAAACCACATAAATGCAATGCTGTAGGGAACTTCTCATGAGCTGTGACAGTGAGTGCAAGTGGCTTCATGCATTTTAAAAGAAATCCCTTCTAGCTGCAGTTTGTGCATTCAGACTCCAGAGATCCAGGTGTGCTTCTTATTGTTGTGTGCCTGCAAGTCAGAATCGACTCATAGGTGACCCTCCAGTGGGTTCTCAGAAACTGTAAATGGCACTAGAGGAGATTGTCCATCTTTCTGCTGTGGAGCTGCTGATGGATTTGAACTGTCTGCCTTTCAGTTGGCAACACAATTCCTTACCACTACCTCTCTCCATGCACTAACAAAAGAACATATGTCTTAAAGAATGTGTTGCCAGAACGTTTCTCAGAGGCAATGACAAAGCTTCATCTCACATACGCTGGGCGTGTTGCTAGGAGAGGCTATTCCTTGGAGAGGGACATCATGCTTGCAAATGTGGAGGGAAAGTGAAAGAGACGAAGACCCTCAACCAGATGGATTGACATGATGACTGCAGCAATGGGCACAAGTGAGTCAGAGGTGATGAGGATGGCACAGGCTAGGACGGGTTTCCGACGTGGTGTTCATAGGATTGCTGTGAATTGTCCTTAATTGGATGGCACCTAACAACAACAACAATCTCTCCCTAACTTGGTGTTTGTTTGTGTGGTTAGCTTGAAATCAAGCATGGTGGGATTTTATCATGGAGCAACAAACCAGCCTCCCCAGCATGCGGGCACACACACGTGCGCGCGCGCACACACACACACACACACACACACACACACCCCGCCCCACATACACCCACACACACCCAAGAGCTGCTGTTAAAGGTTTATCAGAACACCACCATAGCCAACTCGAGGTGCTGTCTCCTGAGGAGGTCCCAGTCTGGCTTTAGCCATGAGAGAAAACCCTCCTTCCACAGCAGACAGGGGACCCATCAGTCCTTTGGAAATGGGTCCCTTGCCATCGCCTCCACTCCTCGCCTCGCCGGGTGGGTAGGAGGAAGGTCAGAACCTCAGATGAGCTATTCTCTCAGGTCCTGAGCTCTCAAGATACTGAACTTGTTGAGTCCCTGCCCCCATTGCTGGTTTCAAATTCTGTGTTTGGTGTTCCTGAAACTTGCCCTGGCTGCCTGCTATAGACCTCCTGAGGCAACCACATCTGCTTGTAATTTTTCTGAGAAGGAGGAAAGGTCGTGGTTGCTGGCCCCTTACCCCCCTGAGTATCTCTGGAATGCCTGCCTCCTGGCCCCACCCCACGCCCCCCACCCACACACTCCCAGGGTCCCAGAGCCAGGACTCAGAGTAAGATGGACACACTTAACCCTATCTCAGCCAGTGTTCCCCCTTATCAGTGATCCCCCTGGCAGTCCAGTCTCCACCTCCTAGCTACTTGGCTGGCCCACCTCTCACTTTCCTATCTCTCACTGCAGGTCTTCCTGCCTGCAGTCTAACCACCTAGCGCCCCCTGTGGTCAAGTCGGCCCAGAACGCCCAACGTGCCACTTTCCGGTTACACTGATCCCCTCACAGCTCCCAGAGAGCAAATCTCTATCTCTAGTTTTCTTTGTCCTCAAATAACCCACTAAGGCATCCTGGGGCCTGGGGAACCCAGTGAGTGGGGCAGGATGGGGCAGCCCTAAGACCAGAGAGAACCCAGTGCTCAGGAAATGGAGTGTGAAAATAGAAAAGAAAGCCTGACGAAGATGTGGGGTGGTGAGGGATTGTGAGTGTGGGTTCTCTATCCTCCCACCCTGCTTCTATTAGAGGGTGGAAATGAAGTAGGAGCTGGAAGGGTTACATCCAGAGTTTCTCTCTAGGGGTCTCTAAGGCTAACCCTACTCTGAGGGGGCTGGTCCTGCCCTGCCCTCAGGGAACCTCAGTCTGAGAGGGGAGGCCCAACCCTATTCTGAGGGAGAAAGGCCCAAGACATGAGTGTCCCTCAGGTACTCATCTTTCCTTTCCCCACCCCCTGCTTCACTGTTGATGCCTTCCAAGTTCTCAAAACCATCCTATTCCAAGCTTGCTCTGTTCTGGCCACCTTCCAGGCCATGTCTACCTTCAGTACCCCCTGAGTTTGGTCCCCACTAGCAACATCCCCATATACGTCTCTAGGATACTTGGAAGCCAAGGACACAGGCAAGACCTTAGGCCCACCACACCGCTCCCCTTTTCCACCACTCAGTCTTCTAGACACACACACACACACACACACACACACACACACCCCCCACCCTGGCTCTGGTGCTGGCCTGGAGCTCAGCTTGTCTGGGCCCAGCATAATCATCCTTGTTTCGAGCCACATGAGCCTTCCTAGGCTTCACCTGCCCCCACCTCAGCTGGAGATTGTGGTGGGTTTAAGTGGAGGTGTTGGGAGGAAATGCCACACTAGTTGTGTGTGTTGTTGGGCCGCTGAATCCCAAAACTCTTGCCTCCTGTTCATATCTCCTGTATTAGTCCTGGGTAATTCTCACCACTGGACCAACTGGTAGCATCAGGATGGATGGTGAAGAGATTGAGATTGTACACAGCTTTAGTTTGCTTGGCTCCATAGTCAACAGTCTTGGCACCAGCAGCCAGGAAATTAAAAGGCGCAGTGCCATGGGAAAGTCTGCTGTTAGGGACCTCTCCAAAATACTGAACAGCAATGGTGTCTCTCTGGAGACTAAGGTGCGTCTGATACAGGCCATGGTCTTTGCAATCACTTGTTATGCATCAGAGAGTTGGACAATGACCAAGGAGGATAGAAGGAGAATTGATGCCTTTGAGCTGTGGTGCTGGAGAAGAGTATTGAGAATACTATGGACTGCTAGGAAAACAAACAGATTTGTCCTGGAGAGGGTTAAACCGGGTGGCTCCTTGGAGGCAAGGATTCTGAGGCTCCGTCTAACATACTTTGGACATGTTGTGAGGAGAGACCAGTCCTTAGAGAGGGACATCATGCTTGGGAGGGTGGAGGGACAGCGCAGGAGAGGAAGGCCCTCTATGAGGTGGATTGATTCAGTGACTGGGATAATTGGGATGGGAGTGTCAGAGACCGTGCGATTGGCACAGAACAGAGCGGAGTTTAGGGCTGTTGTACATAGGGTCGCTATGAGTCACAAGCGACTCGACAGCACATAACAAAACAACAACAACATAGCACGCCATTCACCTCCTCCTAGTCCACTCGTAGAAGAAATGGTCCACTTAGGGACTTTCTGATGGACTTGGGGGGTTGGGGCTTGACTGTAACCTCCTCACTCTGATTGGCTGCTGGAGTGATGGTAGGCTGTTTTCCCAAGGGCCTCAGGGCAGGGCTAGAACAGTGGAGGAGGTGGTCAGCCTGGGGCTGGAATCCATAGGGAGTAATGAGGGAGAGCAGTGGGTGGTCAGGAGGGAAGGGAGGAATGGGATGGGGCCCAGGAATGGATGGAAGGGTGTGACCTGTCCACCCCCAAGGGTGATTGGGCAGACCTGGGACCCAAGTTCTAGCCTGGCTTCTTGGGCTTATTCCCATTTTGAGACTCTGCTTTAGCAGAGCCAGGTCATTGGGACCCTCAAGACTGCATGTTGTTGTTGTTGTTATGTGCCATCAAGTTGCCCGTACAATAGCTCTGAAGCCGCCCTGTCCTTAACAAGTCTCACTGATTCTGATACACCTACTCCCATTGCCCCAATTTCTGTATCAATCAGTCAATCAATCCATCTCATACAGAGCCTTCCTTTCCTGCACTGTCCCTCCACCCTTCCAAGCATGATGCCCATCTCCAAGGATCGGTCCCTCATAGCCACATGACCAAAGTATGTGAGACTGAGTTTCAAAATCCTAGCTTCCAAGGAGAAACTTGGTTTCACCCTCTCCAAGACAGATCTATATTTTCTCCTGGCCGTCCATGGTATGTTCAAACTCTTCTCCAGCACCACAACTCAAAGGCATCAATTCTTCATCTATTATCCTTAGTCATTATCCAGCTCTCTGATGCATAGCAAGTAACTGCAAAGACCATGGACTGGATCAGGCACACCTTAGTCTCTAGACTGACATCGTTGCCTCTCAGTACTCTGGAAAGGACCCTGACAGAGATTTACATAATGCAATTCACCTTCTGATTTCCTGCCTGCTGGTGCCCAAAATGCTGATTGTGGAGCCAAGGAAGTTGTAATTGTTAAAAACCTCACTCTCTTCTCCAAAGGGTTTTCAATCAGACACTCTTGGCTTCTAGCTCCACCTCAGGGGCCCATATTACACTCAATGAGAGGTCCTCTGGTCTCCCCATAGTGGCTGGAGTCCTTTTCCAAGCTAGGTGCCCCTTTTCCTTTCAAGTCTATCTCCCTGCTCCATGGTTGGTTTGAGGGACACAGACACCTCCTCTCACAAGTGGCCATTAAGTATCACTGACTGTGCTCAGGACCAGTGGAGTGCATGTGATCCACATGGATCATCTCGTTTAAAGCTCACACAAATCCATCATT